CTCATGTACATCTTTGAAGCCTAGAGTGTTCCTTGTAACAGCAGATGATTTGTCAACATCGACATATGTACTGGACAATTCATTTCCACAGGCTCCAATAACACATTTTTGTGCTAAAATGGGAGGTGGTCACCACCGCCATTTTGACCTTGTCATAGGTTCAGTCAAGCCCATACAATTCCACAAAAGGGAAGAGAGGTGGAGCTGAGGGTGGGGCTGTAAGGCTGGGATCAACTGACGACACCCGGTCGAACTAGCTACAAGCTAACCTGAAGCTAACCCAAAGCTAACACGGAAGTGGGAGCTAAGCTAACGGAGGTAGCAACCTAGCTACAACCGGAGTTAACTGTGCACAACACCAGAGCTTCTGAGTCAGAGATACGCCGGGCTGACCGCTGGGTAAAACCAGGCGGAACACAGAGGTCTCCTGAAAGCCGGCAGCCCGCGCAGCAGACAGAAGCCGCGATCAGACAGAGATACGCCGAGCTGCGGGCAGGCGGGAACCGCGTGGAAAACATCGGTCTCTCGAGAGCTCCACAAGCCGATAGTGGGAACCCAGCTCCACCAACATGTTATATTTCAACCCATTTTCTAAAGTGCAGCATTATGTTAAATGCACTGGGTTTTACCCTATTACATTTAAATTTCATGGTTAAACAGTACATGTTACAAGCTAAGCTCAGCTCGGCAGTGACCTAAAATACATAAATATAATTTTACTTACCGAAAAAAATGCAGTGGAGACTCCTTGGACGCTCTATTAGTGCAATTAATGCCACAGCAAGTCATTTTGTCCAACAATTGCACAAAAAATATCCAAAAAAGAATACACAAACACAGAGACTCAAAATCCCGGAGCAGTTTCCAAGCCAGACCGAGGCTCTACTGAGGCCTTTCCACGGAGCTAGCTCTGTGGTCACGTGGGTCGGATGCTCATTAATTATACAGAATTTTAGGCTTTTAATACACTTAAACAGAAGAGTGAGAAAAAAATTCACCCCCCTCAGAGTTGTCATGAGTGTAAACTAGATCATTAAACCAAAAACATGTTTTGGAACCAGGATGTAAACATGTTTATTTCTGCTGTGAAATTGGTATTTTTAACATGGGAGTCAATGAGGATTTGCTCGCTTCTGACACCAGCCCCCAGCGGATGAGGGTGGAACTGCAATTTTTGCTACTTCCGGGCTGGGCTCAATTTTTGAGCCGCATTGTGGGGGCTTGTTTGTCAACAGCTGAAGACATTTGTCCTGAATTATTTGAAGTTCCTTAACTTCTAGTGTGGAGGTGAAGCCGTCACATTATTTGCTTTCATTTCTTTGGGTTGGAAGTAAAAGTTTTAACTATTTTATTGATTATGTATTTGTGGGATAATGTTTTCCTAAAAATTGCGTCCATAATTTGACTCCTAATACTGTAATAAATATCTTAAAGCATCTTTCACTAGCATGTTTTTTGTGGTGGTGCCTATCTAATGCTGCATATAGTCTGTCTGTAGGTCGGTGTGTGGTCATAAATGGGGGGGGGGGGGGGGGGGGGGCTTATGAAAACACACCCCTTGCCAGAGGACACTACTGTCTGTCCAGCCAGACAAGTTTATTAGTTTGCCCCAAAACATACAGCGTTGCAGCCTGGAGCCTCCTCATCCCATCCAGCTCCCAGGGGCCCCCTGGTATGATAGCTGCAGCATCCACCAACACTGCCGGCTGCACGCAGTCATGTTCTAGATGCCTGCACACAAGCGTTTGCTGCTTATGACGGATCAGATTTGTTTGGGTTTGAAAACCGGGACATTGATTATGTGGTTTATTTAAGTCACTTTATTTTATAGTTTCCACTGTGGAGCCCCCTGTTTGTTTAGGTGATTTCACCAGATTTTACAACCTAATTTCTTTGTAAATATCAGATGATTATCGACTTCAGGTTTTATGTTTACATGTCATTTTGAAGTCGGAGTTCTATGGACATAAATAAATATTGTTCAAAAGTTTAACTTGTGAACAACGCAATTAGTTATTCGTGCTGCTTGACTTTGATTCTACGGGTCGCTGGTTTATTTTTGAAAGTGTCCCGAGACAGTCTCCTCCTTTAAAGTATTTGAGACATTTGATGAAAACAAAAATAATTAAAAATGGCTCGCAAAAGAGAAGAAAAAATAAAACCGTAAATGTTCCCACAGGGCCTGCTCAGTTTCAAAACTGATGTGAAAATGTCTTGCACATTATTCATTGCAATTTTCCTTTGGATGCTTTTTTTGCCTCCTGAAAGCTTTTATTCATTCGTGTCTGGTCTCAAACGAGAGGAATCAGCTATTTTTGATTTCCTGTCATTTGGGGGTTCCTCTCCCTCAGTGTTTTGTCAGACATCAAAGTCAATTTGCAGCTAATGGTGACCAGATTAGGTAATTAGGGCCAACCTTTGATAGTTTTGACACAGCCATGTGTGTGAATGTGTGTGCATGCAATCTGAAGGTCGTACTGTGTCACATTTCAGGACAAATGCTGTTGAGGGGCCTCAACAGTTGAAACAAGTGGCACATTACAATGTAATGGCCCTTACACACTAGCACCAGCTCCAGTCTGCCCGGACCGAGTTGGGAGTGCTCTCATTTAGGTAGCCTTGGATTTGCTCACGCGCAACCGGACGTCTTCTTAGCCCTCTTGCTGAGGTGGTCTGCCTGGAACCGAACATGGCCGACATGCTCACTGCTGATCGATTGGCTGACTCAAAAATCACGCGTAGCATTGGGGGAGCCTCCGATTGGCGGATAGAATCAGCCCGTGGGGGCTTCGCGCATGTGCGATTTATTAACATTCTGGATGCTGTGGAGTTACTGAGCCTCTGACTCACTGCTGTGAGGCAGCACACACACACACACATACACACAAAGGCACAGGCCAGGCACAGCAAAGCCGCTGTCAGAGTCTCCAAAAGCAAAACTGCTCAGGCTGCTTTTGTTTAAAAATGGAGACACCACAGACTTCTCCTCACTCTTTTTGCCCCACCCACTTGCTCAGAGATGTGCTCATGACATCACAGGTAGGGATGGGTACCTTTGAAATTTGAATCGATTCAGTACTAATTCCTGGTACCTACGAATCGATACCGGTACTTAACGGTACCAATGTTCGGTACTTTTGAGTGTTTATTATTTTAATTCTCTTTTATAATTAAATATATATTTTTCTCAATATATAACAATATTTGATAAATATCACGATAAATAACATACAACTGTTTGTATTTTAACATTGTCCTTGTAGTTTTATAAGCTGATAATTAAACTGAAGCAAACATCTTTACTGTGAACTAAATGTACTGTGTATCTTCATTCCTTTTGCCGTCCTTTTTCATTTGATTTTTCCTACTGGGAAGCTAGAATTTCCGAGGAGAAAGCGGACGCAACATTAGCTGATAACAACGGTGGCAATGGAAGCTAACATATCAAGCTAACGTTATCTTAAACAGTTTATTTAACTGCTGGAGCAGATTAAAACGATGATGCCTCACACTTAGATTGTTGTCACTGGTTTCATCTTCACCCAATCACCCGTCGCATTTAGTAAAGTGAAGCCAAACTTTAGAGCGCGTTCGTGTTCTTCTAGTCGAAAATTCGGAGTTCCGATGAGAAAGCGAACGCACCATTAGCGAAACGGAAGCTAACAAATCAAGCTAACGTTATCTTAAACATTTTATTTACCTACCGGAGCAGATTAAGATGAGGATGTCTCACTTAGATCGTTGTCGCTGGTTTCATCATCACCCAGTTACCCATCACATTTAGTGAAGTGGACCCAAGCTTTAGCCTGCGTTCTTTCTACCATGCTGCTCTGTTTACAACTCGCTCGCAGCGACCGATGACAAAATGCTCTTGCGCATGCGCAGCTGTCTAGGCAAATTCTCGTTATGAAGGACGGGTACCGAAACGAGGCACCGTTTCAAAAGACGTGAATCGGTGCTCGGTCGGTACTATGGAATTCGGTCGGTACCTTAAAAAGTACCGAATTCTGTACCCATCCCTAATCACAGGCCACAGACCACCCATGTGCTCAGTCACGTCCGCATTCCTTAGGCAGTGTGAAACGACGTGGCCAGTCTGGGCAGATGGAGCGGACCTGACGCTAGTGTGGAAGTGGCATATGGAGCATGAGATGGTCCTTTCAGAGCATAACGACAGAACATTTCAGCGTTGCAGAGCCAGAGCAAACAATGCTGAATCCTTACATCTCTCACCCCCCACCCCCACCCCATCTGATTGTAAACAGCTTATTAGTCATCAATTAAACATTTTAGTGCTCACAGTGTTCACATACTTAATTACAATTGAGTCACAAGACAAGAAAACCATTTTGAGCTGAATTCTGTGAGGTTACACTGATGTCACGCAAATGTTCAAACGTTCAGGCCAACATTTGAACCAGAACATGTCAACGAGAAGGAATTTTACAGCTTTGAATTTAAAAATAAATATTCATGTTGTTAACATTTCTCTTTTCTTACCCCAACAAAGACTCTCGGGTTTCTTCACTTTTAATTTTTCTAAATTTGATTTGATTTGAACAAAGAACATTTATGCTGTAGAGAAGCCAACAGTAAACGATTGCAGTACCAAATGTGTTATCCAGAGCACCACAGACCACCGCTCTTTGTCTACTGAAGCTCACAACACAACACATAGCTTAGATGTTTTTCTTTGAAACAGATTCATCCACCACAGGTACTTCCTCAGCCCCTAGGGCCGCTGAGGTGAAGGGATCCAAACAAAAACATGGTATCATTTAGTCACGGAGGATTAACCCACTTAGAGGAAGTCATTTGAACCAGTCATCTCTGCTTCAGTGTTATAACTGTCTTTTGTCGTGTATGAGGTGCTGCAGAGGATGGTTGTTGTTCTTCAGGTGTTTCTTCTCAAACAACGCTTCTTTTTATCAATCTCTGCTGTTGTCTACAGTGACCTGAGATTAAGTGTGTGTCCGCTTCCCTTTACGTGTGCACGACAGGCGACCATGATGTTCAGTTCGGGGGTTTTCTGGATGGGTCTGTTCTTCATCCCGGTCACTTCGCTGATCTTCGACGTGGCCTACAAAGTGTGAGTTTTCTCTCCTCTCCCTTCATCAGACCAACACACACACACACACACACACACACACACACATCTGTTACAGGAAATTCCTCCAGTATCTCTCCTATCAGCAGGAGAAATTCCTGCCTGAGGTTTTGATCAAGCTTCTGCTCTGTGAAATCTCCATGAGGAGATGTTTGGGCCTGGTTGACATCAACTCAGTGTGTCAGGAGTAGTTTGTCAAATTTGAACCTTTATTTCCTTTTTGTGCTTCTTACGTTAGTTTAGAGAGATCCCATCCCTGATAAAGCACCTGCTGCATGTTGTTTATAGCATGTTGTTTGATTTCCAGGGTGAAGAAGGCATGTTTTAAGACCCTGGTGGATGAGGTGCAGGAGCTGGAGGCTTTATCGAAAGACCCTGGAGCGGTGGTGCATGGAAAAAGGTACAGTTACACACTTTGCATCTCTTGTTGTTATGTCTTCAATTTAAAATGGATGAAAAACTGTTGTTTTTAATACAAATTTAACCAGAAGGACAAACAGGACTAGTGTAATGATCCTATATATCAGTATTTTAAAAAAATATATTATTTAAGAACAAGTGGTGAGGGCTGCACTGTGGCGCAGTGGTTAGAGCTGTTGCCTTGCAGCGAGAAGGTCCTGGGTTCGCTTCCCAGCCTGGGATCTTTCTGCATGGAGTTTGCATGTTCTCCCTGTGCATGCGTGGGTTCTCTCCGGGTACTCCCGCTTCCTTCCACAGTCCAAAAACATGAATGTTAGGTTGATTGGTCTGTCCAAATTGTCCGATGGACTGGCTCTCTGTCCAGGGTGTACCCCACCTGATTGCCGCCAGCCCCCCACCCCCCGACCCTGACCCTGCATGGACGGGTTCAGAAAATGGATGGATGGAACAAGTGATGGTCCTGGTCCTCACGGGTCACAATTCACACTCCTGATTAGAATGAGTGGGTCTTTAACCCTCTCAGGCTCAAAATAAGTTCTGATAAAAGGACGAACAACTAAGTCCTTCACTTGGCCTCCTGGCAACGTCCACTTTCATGGCAGTTTTCGAATCTTGACTAGGGGTGGAGTTACATTTTCTGATGGTGTGCAGTCCCTCTTTAAAGAGCAAGTCCCCCCCCCCCCCCCCGCGTACCAGAATCGTACTCCACCCACACTTCCTGTTTAAAAAAATGCACCACAAGAAGGCGTTGTCTTGTTTATTGAGAGGGCGGTGCTAAGGCAGTGACACTGACCCCCCTGGGAGATTCTCCATCAGAGAATCGAGCTGCTAGCAAACACACACCAACACACACACTCACACCCAGCTCAGACAGAAACAACATCAGGCTTCCTAGTTTGGAGCATTTCTCTCTTCACCAGAGGAAAGAGAGAAAAGAAAAGAAGGTTTTTTTGTGGGGAGGAGGTGATTGGCTCTGAGCTGTATCGTTTCATATTGGCTCATGAGGTTTCTGAGGCAACCGGTGCCGAGCCAGCTGGAGCCGTGGCCAAGACTCAAATGCTTCTATACTGCACAACGGCAGTGCAGCCTCGTCACACTGTACACTTAGCCAGTAGCAATGGCTTATTCAAATCCAGATGTAATGCAGACCTTTAACGTGAGGAGGGAGCAAGACTGACCATTTTAGGCAGAATTTATGTTTTAAATAAGAGGCACTAAAATGCAAAAAGAATGACTTCACATGTCTACAGCACTATTACACATTTATACAGTTTATCAGCAGAAAAGTTGGTTTGGGGGTGACTTGCTCTTTTACAGGCTTCTGTGGGAGTTGGAGGAAAACAGGTAATTTAACAATGAAATCTGGTGTGTTGGATCAGGAAAACTAAAAAGTTAAGGATTAAAAATATTTGTTTTATTTTTAGTGTTGCTGTTTGCAATAATATTAATAACAATAATAATAATAATAATAGCAAAGTACATATGTGAGCTGTTTCATCGAGCAATAAATTTCAATCAAATATCATGAATAAATTACCAACCAACCTAAAGTCCACTGTGTTCATTATGCATCTTTTAATTGTACTTTTTGAATCGTGTGACATGTAAAAATCCAATAAGCTACAGAAGCAACACACACTGTTAGTGTTTTTATACATCTGGAGCTTTAGTGGTTATGATCTTACTGCAACATCTTTGGTATTCTGACTGGGAACGCCAGACTTTTTCTGCTGTTTTTACAATTTAATGACACAAAAGTGCCTGCAAACCAAGTCAGCATGGGTTTTTTGGAAGTTGGTTGTTTTCTACCACCAGTTAGATGCAACATTATCCTCAACAGTCTAAAGCAAAAACATGCATTTGTATCCTGGTGTCTTTTAGTTGACATAGGACTGAATGTCCTCATTTACAAAAACTAACTGTTGGATCACAAACATAAATTCATAATTCTCCATGAATTATTTTAGATGAATGTTTGGTCAACTTAGCTTATTGATCTTTAAAAGTGTGTTTGCACTGTACCCATTTCTCAGAGTAACGCCATCATATACACACTTTGGTGTTCATGCTGACCCTGCTGAGTTCACACAGTTGTCTCTCGGTGGTTTTAAGAAATGTCAATAATTCTTCTCAACTTTACAAGATCAGTTTAAAGGAAGAATTTTGTCCTCCTAAATCCCTCAGAATGTCACGAATATTCATTGTCTTTCTGCCAATAATATTCCTGTGTGGATGGGAGAAATCTTTAAATTGCAGCTAAATTGCCCAAGTCTGACTGTAATATCAGTAATCATCTGGATAAGAGTGGTTTCTCTTGTTTTTCCACCCAAAACAGGGAATGTCTGATATTTTTCTACTGAGTAACCGTTTCCCTTTATTAAAGCCATACAGATGTGTAGTAATGTGTATGAGCTGGAGCAGGTCTCCTGCGCTCTCTGGGCTCTGAGGTCTGGTGTACACATCAACACGGAGCAGATCAGTGTGAGATCTCCTGTTGGCTGAAAGTGATCCTCATGCCTGGCTGCTGTCCCAGACTCGGCAGGGGACACACACAACAAACACATGAATAAGGCTGGGTTTTTTTTCATATATGTCTACACACACGTGTGTTGTTTCACGCATCTACGTGAATTCCTTTTGGCCAACTTGCTGTTTCACACACTTCCCTCACGCTCACAGTGCTTGAACCAGCAGGTCTGTGCACTCTGGAGGTGCTCGGACAGTCTTGATGTATGGGTCACTAAATGTACCTGTGGTGCTCGGTTGGCCGCTAATACACTCGATGTTTTTATGTGTGTAGTTTGACGGAGAGGGCCCAGCTCCTGAAGAATGTCTTCAAGAAGAGCACGGTCAGTCTGTACCGGTCTGAATCCATGCAGCAGAACCTGCTCCGTAAGTTGTTGACTAATTCTTCTCTTTGTTTTGTTTTTTTAGTATTAATACAGAACACAAGTGATTATTAATAAAACATGTTACAGGTTGTAGAGCAGAGACCAGCCGGTTCCTTGTGAGGAGCGGTTGAGGGAAACATGCTTGTTCTAACAGGAATGAAGTTTAGACCGGATCAGCTCAGGATGACCCCTCACCTCCCTTGTTCGTTTATTTGATTTCATCATCATCATTTTGTTTTTTTTTTTGTCTTTATTAGCCCTTCAGAGTTGAGGCAGCGGCCCATTTTTACACGTAACTCGGTTTCTTTAAAATCCCTTTTCAGAGGGAACATTTGGTCCTAGTAGGCTCGTTTTCACTATTGGACCTTCATGTTATGGACGTGTCTCCATTTCATCGGGCTGGCCTGAAAGAACCCTTTTTTAGGCCATTTCAGGGTCCTACCAAGTACCTGAACTGGAGTATGTACTCAGAAAGGCCCGGTAGACCCACTGAGTAATCACGTAACCAAACAACTGGCATTTGTAAAATTGGAAGAGTCAGCAAAGTCTTCATGTGGAATAGCAGGAAAAGGAAAATAAGCCATGTTCACGCTGCTTTAAAATGATCATCTCTAAACTCCCAACACCAAAAGTGCATTGGAAACCCCCCCCCCCCCTCCCCCCCTCCCCATACACACACACACACACACAACGTGGTGTTTTGTGGTAAGAGCAAAAGGTGCTACATCACACAGTCACTCTCCCAGTCAGCTTTTACAAAGTAAAACTTTTAATGTTACTAATGTCCGTGGATGCCTTTGGGCGCTGATCAGTGACATCACTCATTGCCGAAGCGGAGCCGATTTGTTGACGTCTTAGAAAATTCCTGAAAGGGCCGGTTTCATATGGAGACACAACGGCTGCGGCCGGCTCCATCGTGTTTTCTCTGTCATCCTCCCAGAGAGTTCCTGGAAACAGAAGCGTCCTCTGTTCCTCCTGAATAGATCACCTTTAACACCAGCTTATTACACTTCTAATGGGATAAATTATATCTTTTACTATAGCTGCCTGAAATTTGGCTAATATATTTATTTATTTATTTATTTGCTAAAACATCCATGTACGAAGAATGTATTTAGACATTCATAACCAGGTTGGTCGATGTAGACGCTGTTTCTGGTTATCAAAACCAGCTCTGTGCTCTCGGCTGATACCAGATAAGCAGCCCTAAGGTTTGTTTTTCTCAAACATGGACTCAAACTATACAAAAGTGGGTTCGACCAAGTTGCCAAAACTCTTTTAGATCTGACGAATGCATTTGAATGTTTTTGACAAGAATAAAATCACTGGTTGAGTCAAGTGACATTAAAATGATTCTGCTGGTGTGAGAAAGAAAATTCAGCCTCAGCAGAGCCTGAAATCACTCAGAGGAATGTCCTTTCACATTTCGTTAAAAGAAAACATACCAAATTAGCTGTCAAGAGAAACTTTCAGTGATTTTATCGTTTATTTCGGCGTGGGTTTTGGATGATTTTTTTCTCATCTGGTTTTTATGTCTTGTGTTTCTTGTCTGATCAGTTTGTTTTTTGTTTGTCTCGTAGGTGGGGATGAGATCGTTGTTGTGTGATGCTTTTTTTTAACTCTTTAATCTGACCTCATCCTGCTTAAGTCTCATCCCCTCTGCAGCTGTCCTTTAGATTCCTCGCTTCTTCCTGTTTTGTGGTTGTACTTCCTGTCTCTCCCCCCGTGTGCCTCTGTGTGTCCTGAGTGAAGCTCAGTAGTGTTAGATGACAATGACATGATGAAATGTTGCGCTGTTATTCCCCCACAATGCACTCATCTCAGCGGGGTCCTTTGAACTGGCCCGCTGGCCTCCGGTTACTGAGCGAGTCATTTGACACCTGAAGGTGAGTCAGGGGTCTGAGGTCAAGTGAGACCCTGTAGATGTAGACCGTAGAGCAGCTTTGACACTACAGATGAACCTCAAGGGGGAGCTGGTTACTGTGTGTGTTTTACATTTGTGACGATTTATTCACAGAAAATTTGTGGGAAATCAGCTTTTTGTTCAACGTGCTCTACTGCTCACACATTTAACATTTACGTTTGTGCTAACCGTACAAACCTAAACAAGTCCCTTTAATTATTTAATACTGACTGTAAACCGTTAAAGTAAATTTGATCTATATTGCACCTTTCACAGGGAAATGTCCCACAATGTTTTTCACAATAAAATGAAAACAACAGTAAATAAAACCTGAGATCAAATACAGGAATAAAAACAAAAACATAAAATCTTACAGCCAGATCTAATTAAAAACCTGCATAAATAGATCATAATTACAGTTACCCGTTAAAAAAAACCACTACATCAGTAATGGGTTAGAGTTTGTGGGTAAAGGACTTTTGGGGGTTACAGTAAAATCGGGGGTATTTGATCTTTAAGACAACAAAGAGTCTGGTTCTGACACAATATACAGGTGCTGGCCAGTAAATTAGAATATCATCAAAAGGTTGAAAATATTTCAGTAATTCCATTCAAAACGTGAAACTTGTACATTATATTCATGCAATGCACACAGACCAATGTATTTCCAATGTTCATTACATTTAAATTTGATATTCATAAGTGACAACTAATGAAAACTCCAAATTTGGTATCTCAAAAAATTAGAATATTCTGAAAAGGCTGAATATAGAAGACACCTGCTGCCACTCTAATCAGCTGATTTACTCAAAACACCTGCAAAGGCCTTTAAAAGGTCCCTCAGTCTTGTTTTGAAGGCACCACAATCATGGGGAAGACTTCTGACTTAACAGCTGTCCAAAAGACAATCATTGACACCTTGCACAAGGAGGGCAAGACACAAAAGGTGATTGCTAAAGAAGCTGGCTGTTCGCAGAGCTCTGTGTCCAAGCACATTAACAGACAGGCGAAGGGACGGAAAAAATGTGGTAGAAAAAAGTGTACAAGCTCTAGGGATAACCGCACCCTGCAGAGAATTGTGACGACAAACCCATTCAAAAATGTGGGGGAGATCCACAAAGAGTGGACTGCAGCTGGAGTCAGCGCTTCAAGAACCACCACGAGGAGACTCATGAAAGACATGGGATTCAGGTGTCGCATTCCATGTGTCAAGCCACTCTTGAACATGAAACAGTGCAAGAAGCGTCTCGCCTGGGCCAAGGACAAAAAGGACTGGACTGATGCTGAGTGGTCCAAAGTTATGTTTTCTGATGAAAGCAAGTTCTGCATTTCCTTTGGAAATCAAGGACCCAGAGTCTGGAGGAAGAGCGGAGAAGCACAGAATCCACGTTGCATGAGGTCCAGTGTAAAGTTTCCACCGTCAGTGATGGTGTGGGGTGCCATGTCATCTGCCGGTGTTGGCCCACTCTGTTTCCTGAGGTCCAGGGTCAATGCAGCCGTCTACCAGGAAGTTTTAGAGCACTTCATGCTTCCTGCTGCTGACCAACTTTATGGGGATGCAGACTTCACCTTTCAACAGGACTTGGCACCTGCACACAGTGCCAAAACCACCAGCACCTGGTTCAAGGACCATGGTATCCCTGTCCTTGATTGGCCAGCAAACTCGCCTGACCTTAACCCCATAGAAAATCTATGGGGTATTGTGAAGCGGAGGATGCAATACGCTAGACCCAACAATGCAGAGGAGCTGAAGACGACTATCAGAGCAACCTGGGCTCTCATAACACCTGAGCAGTGCCACAGACTGATCGAGTCCATGCCACGCCGCATTACTGCAGTTATTGAGGCAAAAGGAGCCCCGACTAAGTATTGAGTGCTATACATGCACATTCTTTTCATGTTCATTCTTTTCAGTTGGCCAACATTAGAGAAACAAACATTTTTTCATTGGCCTTTAGAATATTCTAATTTTCTGAGATACCAGATTTGATGTTTTCATTGGTTGTCACCTATAAATATCAAAATTAAACGTAATAAACATCGGAAATACATTGGTCTGTGTGCATTGCATGAATATAATGTACAAGTTTCACGTTTTGAATGGAATTACTGAAATATTTTCAACCTTTTGATGATATTCTAATTTACTGGCCAGCACCTGTAAAAGGTCAGTGATTAGGTACAAGTTCTAGCTTTTATTGTAGTTACCCTTTTAGATTTCTGTGATTTATCAGCAGACATGGAAGTATTTCTATTTGCCGTGCACTGAACAAGAAATTTACAACCGACAACCTTTAAAAGGCTGCAGGGTAACAGGATAAGACACCTGAGCACACCTCTACAGCTCAGGTGTTTCATCATTTCAGTATTTATGCAGGCGGACATGTTATAGGATGGTTACTAAAAAGAAAGGTGACGGCTCTTCTAATCAGAACTCATCATTTGTTTAGAACCTCAGGAATATAGTTGCTAGTGTAAATTATTTTCTTATGAAGCCACATTTAAGAGGAGTTTAATGAACGTTTTTAGCAACATTTTTGGTTGTTCCTAACCCTGACAAAGCACAAATGTAGACATGTTTAATGATGTTTGATTCTAGTTTTTTTATATTTGCTTCTTAAATTGTTCCCATGTGTGAACACTTTGCTTCAGACTTTGTCTTAGTGTGGTGTTCAGACATGCCTCCTCACAGAGGGAGAGTTTCTGCTCTCGGTCTGAAACATAAGAGAGGAAGTGCACTGGAGCGTCTGTACGCAGGAGGCAGGATGGGATTCAAGTGGTTTTCTGTAGAAATCTCAGGGTCTTCTTACAGCATGTTAGGAACAAGAGATGAGGATGTTTGTGGTTTTACTTTTACGCAGATTTAGACTCTGTTATTTTCTTTTTCTTGAAAGAAATTAGCCACAGCTTCTTAAAATGTTCACCTTCCAGATGTGACACATGCACTAATCTGTTTCCACTATTGGAGCTTCTGAGTGATTTTACCAGACCGTAGCAGCATGCACGTGTCTTTGTTTCCCCATGCTGGCCCAAATGGACCACTTTCCAGGTCATTTTCAGGGACCAACCGAGTACCAGAACTCGGAAATGGCCCGGAAGAGTTTCTGGGTGGGACTTGTGGTTAACTCACGCTTATTTGTTTTAATTCAGTGGGAAATGACATCACCAATAAAAAAGCATTTTAACACTGGAAGAGTTGCTGGTGAAGCTAAGGGAACGAAGATAAAACAATCACTTACTAAACTCCCAAAAATGTAGCGTGAATCCTCCACACAACAACGCAATGCACCGCACTTTGTGGTCTCCTACAGAGCACTGTAAACAACGGCATTTCTTCTGGTTAATGGATGAAATTACAGCATACTTTGGCAAAATAAAACATTTAATGTTATTAATGTCCATGGACACCTTTTGTAAATGATCAGTGAATCGTAAAATGCTGACGTCTTAGCAAAGTTGTGAAAGGGTTGGTTTTGTATGGAGAAGGGCTGAGAGGACCGAGCAATCATCGATCAGTTGTCACCTTTCCCCCTCCCAGAAACGTCCCAGAACTCCTATAGTGGAAACATGGCTCATAACAAGAAAAAAAGGCCTTTTCCCCAAAACCTTTACTTTAGAATACAATCTAGTTTTTGTTACTGTTTATTTTTTCATATATGTTTCATAATGGTAATTTCATACCGTGCTTTACCAGTTTCACTTCCTTTTCAGATGGCTACGCCTTTTCTCAAGATGAGAACGGAGTAGTGTCTCAGTCTGAGGTGATCAGAGCGTACGACACAACCAAACAGAGGACCAACGAGTGGTGAGCTGCCGGCCTTCTTGTTCCTGGATGAACAAACTGGAGCCGCAGCTTCTGTTTCCACCGGCAACATTAGACTAAGTGAAGCGTCGATACCAGAGTGTACTTCCGTCACTGAGGGAAGACGTGAGGCTACATGAAGAAGGTGGCATTGTGTGGTCTATAAAACGAGCGGGGTGGGGTGGGGTGGGGGGGACGTGAAACAAAATGTGTCCACTATCAGCTGTATGTGTTTGTCCAGCAAAAATGATGAGCACTGTGCGTCCGTAGCATTCTGTGGTCTGAAGTTCTTCACTGTTCTCGCTCAGTTCGTCAGAGCCAACGTGTTCTTTTTACTGAATGACTGCTTTTAGCACAGAGCCACAGCGCCTAACACCATCGTCAGAAATCACTCCTAAACACTGTTGTTACTGAAGTTTGAGCCCAGTTAGAATAGTTTTGAGGAGCTGAAACTTGTCACAGAGATTGCCAAAGAGCAGTCGTGCAAACAATCGTCCAAGTACTAGTGAATTTGGAAATCTTTCAACTCGACTACATGTATTCCCGCACTGAGCAGACCACTTCAGAGCAAATGTTTGTAATGTTTTTATTTTCTCTCTGCACCTAAGTGAGCATCTCTTGTGTGAAGCCTTACATTTGCTCATGCCTTCATCGTTGTATTTTATGTATGTAGGTTTTGTGCCTGGTTTTATTTCTTTATTAATGTTTTTTAATCTTCCTCTTGCAACCACTTTTTACTTAGCAGCCAAAGCTTGGCCCTCCACTTGCAAACGCATTCCACACACATCCCTCCTGTTCCACGATCACAGCGGTGCCTACCTGAAACAATTCCCTCTTAGAAGACAAAAAGGGCCAAGTCTAGGTTTTAGTGCTACACGCAAACTCACAAAGACACAATCACTGTCTCCTCACCACAGTATTGCACTCCTACAGTGTTAAACACTCCAGATTTGATCCAGTAGATGTGAAAACGAGGCTCTCCGATGGTCTCGTGGAAGCTCACGGCGGTGGTAGCGTTTCCCTTCAAATGGAGATTTTTATCCCTCTAACATAAGTGCCATTAGATTAAGTGAGAGAAATATTAGCCAGGAAACTCCACGACAGTATCAAAACTACTTTGTCTCTGTAGTTATTTTGTGGATTTGTATTTTTATATTGGAGATATGACTTTTGCATTGATTGGCTTTGTATTGAAATGTCTGTAACTTGATTTTCTTTTTCTTCCTCGGATAAACTGGCAGGATGGAAAAGATGAGATGCGGAAATGAAGCTTTCCTAAATGTCTTGTTATTATTATTAATATTACTATTGTTAACAGCTTGGTTTATTTATATTTGACTACTTAGTGTTCGTATGATTGCTTTCTTCTCCCTAAGGGAGATCAGGTTTCTGATTGAGTGTGTGTGTCGGTTCATAGCCTGCATGTGCATGTGCTGTATGTGTGTGGATGAGTGTGTTATACCTCTACTGTTGATAACTTCTCTGTATGCACTGCATGTCTGCGTCTTCTGTGGGAAACGAGGGGTTTAAGGAGCCTCAGTTGTGTATCTGTTGTTGTGCGTGCTGAGATGCTAGCTCATGTTGTCCGTCTGCACGACTTCAGGTATCGTTTTGATTTAAATATGTGTGCATGGCTCACGTTGGGAGAGTGAGACTGGTCTGTGTGTGTGTGTGTGTGTGTGTGTGTGTGTGTGTGTGTGTGTGTGTGTGTGTGTGTGTGTGTGTGTGTGTGTGTGTGTGTGTGTGTGTGTGTGTGTGTGTGTGTGTGTGTGTTGAGACTTGCAGCTTCAAGAGGGGGTGTTGCACAATGCACTTGATGTACTTTTCCAGTTGTGGATATCTGGTATTATCTAGTTTCTGTTTCTAATTTCTAAAGGATTCTACAGGTTTGTAACTTGTTTTCTTCATGCGGTGTATCTCTGCTTTAAAGGAATGCTCTTCTCTGTTTTATTTTTCTCTTTCTGCTTCTTACTAGTGTGAAAACGTAACTGTCAGAAATTTCCAAACAGCTGAATGTAAATGTCGTCATTGTGGGAGGCTTGGACTGTTGCTTTGGTTTGGTTTGGTTTCCAGAAACCATGAAACGTTGTTGTCTGTGAAGGTCGTGGGCTGCATGAATGGAAAACACGAAGCATTTTCTGAGGTGTTAATCGTACTGCTTTGAGTCTCCCTCAAGTGTGGATCACTTTGCAGCAGAGGAACAAAAAAAGCACCTTTAGCTTCTTTTTCTTTTTAATAACTTGTTTCTTTTCTGTTCTTTGGTTCAATGATTGTTCTGCATGTTGGGACTGCAAACGTATAAGTGTTGTCTTTTACTGCCATGAAGGACTACTGAAATAAACTTTACAATCATGGAGGAACGATGTCCGTGCGTTTGCTGGTTTATTGGTGAACACAGACTGTACGTCATCATTTAGACATCCCACACGATTGTGATCTGTTCCTGTAATGGATGAGCCTCCAGAGTAGGGCTGGACGATATAGAAAAAGAGCTCATTGATTAAAAACATCTTATTGATCGTTATCAATAATTATTGAAAACTATACAAAATGTAGAAAAGAGGTGAAACTATCCATACATTTTATTAAGTGCAGCCCTGGCTATTTTATGTCATCACCTAATGATGAAACAAGTTGGTTGCGTTCCAGACTTGGTTTTCATCGATTCTCTGCACATTTTGCAAACCACCGTTGTTTGTTTTTTGTCAGACTTGTAAAAATGAAAATATTGCCACACTGGTGAAAGACAGACAGAAAGAAAATGATCTTTAATATAACGTCACTCAAGATACGATTCTACTCGATCGCTTGGAACGATGGGTTGGGATCAAAGGGTCTGCTCTGGATTGGTTTAGATCGTATCTCCAAAACAGGACATTCTGTGTTAAACTGGGTGATGTTTTTTCTTCTTGGGAGGGGCTCCGCTGGGGGGTCCCGCAGGGGTCGATCCTTGGTCCTCTTTTGTTTGCCATTTATCTGCTACCTCTGGGGTCAATCTTTCGTAAACATGGCATATCATTCCATCTCTATGCTGACGATTGCCAGATTTACTCTCCATTGTGTCAGGAGAAAGGTCACTCCATTCAGTCCTTTGTCTCCTGTGTTAATGAGGTGAAGTCTTGGCTAATGTCCAACTATCTACATCTGAATGAGGGAAAGACAGAGCTCATTGTTTTTCACCCCAACAGCAGGAATGTGGACCGTTATGCTGATCTTGGCCCTCTTTCTCCCTACTCAAAACCAGTTGTTACCAGTTTGGGGGTGAAACTTGATGTAGGACTTAAATTTGACGCTCACATCAACTCTGTGATCCAGTCCAGTTTCTTTCACCTGAGACGCCTTGCTAAAATCAAGCCTACGCTGTCGAGAGTCCACCTGGAGCGGGTACTGCATGCCTTTGTTATTTCTCGGCTTGACTACTGCAACTCTCTCTATCCAGGGTTGTGTCAGTCAACACTGCGTCGCCTACAGGTTGTGCAGAACAGCGCTGCCAGGTTCCTGACTGGGACCAGGAAACGGGACCACATCAGTCCGGTTCTGGCCTCTCTGCACTGGCTTCCGATTTGCTATCGCTCACAATTCAAAATCCTCGTCTTTGTTTATCATTTCTTCCAGGGTGGTGGTCCCCCCCTATCTAGCCACTGTCCTGAACAAACATTCCCCATCACGTGCTCTGCGCTCCTCTGACCAAGGCCTGCTCGCTGTCCCTCGGTCTAGGTGTCGTACCCGTGGGGACCGGGCTTTCTCAGTCCTAGCACCGTCACTCTGGAACCAGTTGCCACCCTCAGTTAGGCTGTCCCCTTCTCTGCCAGTCTTTAAGAATCACCTAAAAACACACCTCCTCCGCTTGGCGTTTCCAGAACATGTTTGATTTTGCCCCTCTATTATGTTGAATCCATTCCACAGTTTTCATTGGTACACTCAATCCATCCACTCAATCCAAATGTGTTTCACACATTTGTCCTTTACCAGAATGTTTCATCTATCTTGTAATTTCCATTTTGTGTTTTGTAATTTGTATTTTGTAATTTGAATTTCTTTTATTGTTGATTTATTCAATATATTTACATACAACTGTACAATGTTCAGCGCTTTGGGCTTCCTGACAGGGTTGCGGAAGGCGCTTTATAAATAAAGCTTTGATTTATTGATTGATTGATAAAAATCACAAAATGCTTCACAAGAACAAAAAATTTAAAATACAAAAAAATAAATCTTCTAAACATGATTAAAAGATAGTTAAAATTAGAAGAAAATAAGTTCTTTAAAAAAGAGAGTTCCAGAGTCTGGCAGCATAAAAAACAGACACCCCCCCCCCCCCCCCCCAGCCTGGGAACATGCCATTGCTTAGTGTGAATAATACATAAGCAAAATTATCTTCATGTGAAAGATTTTACATCCAGAGGTAATATTCTCAAATTGGTCAAAAGTTGGACTGAAAATCAAAAAAAACTGGTCCAAGGTGTTCAAGAATCAGAAGTCAATATCTAATAAGGACTGAGTGTAGATTTATATGAAGCTGAGTAACATTTTAACTTTAAAATAAGTTAATTCAGTTTCTTCCGCAATATTTATTGTTTATTTATTTATTTTAAACTGTACGATTTGGTTAATAAAACAACAGAAGTCTTTAAAAAGCATCAAATCCAAAGAAGAAATCCAGTTTAAATAAATAAATTAATAACCAAAATAAAATGCTGCACAAAAATGACTAAATGTTTTTCAAACTGGTCGTTGTTGAAGGTTTCCGTTCCGGTTCACTTCTGGCCTCAGAAATGATTAATGAGCTGAACACACACTTGTTGAGCGGCTACTTTTTCTGGAATAGAACAAACAAGCACTTGATATATCTGATTACAGTTCAGCCAAACAAACCCACTTTTTTTTAAACAAACTGTATTTGTTTTAATAAAGGAATTCACTTAGTAATGTTTGTTCCTGTCCGTGACTTCCCGCCACATTTAAAGTTCACCCGCAACAAAGAGACATAAAAAGTTTAGCTTATTTTATTCTTTTGGCATCATTTGGATAAATGACTGTGGTTTCTTCTAACTGTGGTGATGACTACAAGGTTCCCCAGGACTACACTGAAAAAACGACCACAGGATTTGATTACATGGAAATCCGAAGAATTTTAACGGATGTGTTCTTGAGTGCATTATCACTGTAAACAGAGGTCCTGTTGGTTTTTAAAGAAGCTTTAAATATGTTTGAAACCCAAAGAAAAAATTACAGTTGTCTTTAACCCTTTGATGCAGGAATTATGAAATCTTCAACCACGATTTTTTTAACAATTTTTTTCATTCATATTTAGGTATGAGTGAAACAAATTTCAACAAATATTTTTTGTAACATTTAATAATTTACAAATAATTTATTACATGTCCACCTCAGTGGACAGCGTGCATTTTGAACATGAAATATGGTGGCTTGACTTACTGAAGTCCAAATGAAGGGGCTCACATGCAATAAAGTCTTCAACAGCTGTGCTTAATAGCAAAAATAAATAAATGAAATAACAATTTTGAGTACCTGTCCACTGTAGTGACCATTATGCATCAAAGGGTTAAACCAAAATGTGAGAAGGAAAAAAATAGCCTGGATCCTACACTGAATAAAGGAAAGTTACATTTACTTAATTGAGTTATGTCAACTAAAGCTTGCTGACACAATTTTTACATGTCATGTGTATCCTACTCGTCAAACTCTTCAGCTAATTCTCCTCTCTGTGTTTTCTTGGCACAGCTGGCCAAACTTAAACTGAGGTAGTTGATGAGGAATACATGTTGTTACCTAAAATTATTTAGGACTCTGCATACGGTATGTTGCTATCAGTGTATATCGATATTAGAAAATAAGAATTAGACTATATTGATGTATCAGATATAAGTAAAAATGCCATTAAACACACACGTGGGTTTGTGAGTAAATAAATACTTGTATTTTCCTTTTATTAACCAGGTCAGGGATATTTTACTGCACTTAAAGTGACTTGACTCTGTTCAAACCAAAATCATACGCTGACTGAAGGGTTGCCAGATCTGTCTCAGTCTGGTAGCCATCCCACAGAAACGTCTTTGTCGTGGCTTTCCTTTACCTGCTTTTGCAACCTAAACCTGTGTTTCTGCAGGGAGTTGTTTTTGACACTGACCATGATATGCTCATTGAACACTGACAATGACCGATCTCAGCTCTGCATTCCTGCTGGGAAGTCTGGCGCAGGAAAAAGCAACAGGTAGCAAACTGCAGCTCCTCCACTCCAGTTCCCTCTTCTGTCTTTATTTTCTGAGAGGCGATGAGGCTTTCTTATCTTTGTGGTGTTTAATTTTTAAAAATACCTGTGGTAACAAACTCCACTCATATCAGCCAACAGACGTTACAAGAGACAGATTTAATTTGAGTTGAGAAATCAATATTAGAAATGAAATCTAACACTGTACAACATTTTACAGAACTCCTTTAAATGAAGATGCCCTTTCTCTTTTAGAGGTCTTGTCATAGAGATCATTCCTGTGTTTTAATAGTCTAATATACTTCTGTACTGTCGCATTACAGTCACCTTACTGGATTGATGATAACTGGATAAGGCTGGAGTCTGAGTTTCCAACAAAACAACAAAAATTAGATTACTCTACAATATAAAAGTGCATAAAGTTTTAAAAAAGTGGCCCCAGACAGGCCTGTTGTCGCTGTTTAACCCAGGGAGCTATCTCACCTGGACAGTCTTTTACATCACAGTTTGTGGTGCCGTGTTCATCGTCTCTGGCCCGGATCCTATAACCTCTGGACTCCCTGTCAGCTCTGTCCAAAGTCAGCAAAGCCCTTAGCCGCTGAAAACGAGTCAGGCTGCAGGGGTAAGAAGTACTGCTGGGGCAGCAGGAAGCTGGCACTTTGGGTTGGGTGAGAGGGCTGGTGGATACCTCCCGTCATGGGGGCCGGAGGGGATGTGTATGGAGGTGGAGGTGGAGGAAGAAGAGTCTGTGGAGCCTGGGTGGGAGTGGACGCAGAGGAGGAGACGGTGGCAGACACCAGACATCCATGCTGCTGCTGTTGGCCTCCCAGAGAAAACCTCCGCGTCGAGCTGCCCCCGCTGGCCGAGCTGGAGCTGGTGGTGGCCGTGCTGGACTGTCGAGACGGTGCGCGCAGACTCGGGGGGGCCGTGGTGAGGATCATGGGGATGGTCTCCCCCTGGCTGCTGCGGAGTGAGAAGCGGATGGGCTGCTGAGTGGGCTGCTTGGGCCGCAAACAGGTGCAGCAGTACACGGCCACCAGAGAGCCAACCACAACGAAGGCGATGAAGATGCTCCCCACCATCAGGAAGGGAACATAGACGGGTTCTGAGGACAAGGAGACATGGGTTCAACTTCACACCCAGAACATGCAAAAGAAACGGCGTGTGTTCTGATGTGGATGCAAGCGCACAGAAAACTAACAATATTCATAATGATGGTTACACATTAAAAATACAAGCTCTGTTTCATTATCACTAATTATTAATTACATGCGTGTTTACCCACAAGTGTAGCCAAACCTCCCGATGCACTCAGTTGTTTTAAACCTTAAAAGTTTAAATTTGAGAAAAATGTTACGTTATTTTATTAGAACAAGAAAAAAAAATCTACCCATTTTTTTATTCTACTGGTGAGAAGTAGGAGGCTTGGAATCCGCACAGTTTAATGCTTTTAGAGCTCGTTGGTTTTAAAAAGTTTAAAGAAATCCGATCAAATCTAAAGTGGTTAAAGCAGCTGACTAACCTGCAGGTCAGTGTTACAGGATTTAGAAAAGCAGCAGAAATGACTCGTGTAATAACGGTAATTTATGCTGGCTGATGTTAAAATGAATGTGTTTTATTTAAGCACAAGAATTTGTTTTACAAATAGTCGAGGTGAAGAAGTGTCAGGATCCAGTTTTTCCTCTTTGCACTGATGAAATCTAAAGTGCTGCAGTGAAATGAGTCCTCTGGAGCCAGCAGGAAAGCAGGTGGAAACTCGACTAAATTATGATGCAAACTTTTAAACTGCACAGATTTATTAAGCCTGAGCAGGCAAAGCTGACTTTGAAAAAAAGTTTTGCAACGTTTTATAAATGCTTAAAAATATGTTCTACATTGTCCAAAAAAAACCCCCAGTTTAGATTATTGTTCCATTCTGCAGGTTGTCTGTTTAAAGAAGTTTAGTCAGAAAGACCATAACCTGCCCGCCACGGTTTAGCTGACCTCTGACCTCTCCCGAAAAATTTGCCACAACCAAAAAGTGAACTTATGTCCATGAGATTTCACCATTTTGTATTCTGTGACAGCAAACTGCTGAAATGTTGACAATTTGAATCAATTACTTAAGCATTTTTGTTTCGAATTTTGAGATTTATTTTCTTTTTATGAAAAAAAAAAGCTAAAATCAAACAGGATATTTAAAAGCATCAAACTCTGCTCTTACGCGCTGCATACTCGGTGTTGTCCACCTCTCTGTCGTTGGTGCAGACGCCCTGGTCCAGCCGTGCGTCCGCCGCGGCGCAGCAGTAGCGCAGCGCGCACGAGCCGCAGCACACCGTCGCGTCCAGGGTGTCAAAGTCCTCTGGACACTGGAAGCCCTCATGATAATTCCCATTTGCGTCCAGCCAGCCATGACAGTACTCTCCCTGGGCGTCCGATATCCGCAGATTCCAGGTCAGATATCCCAGCAGCAGGCAGCCCAGCAGACGCACCATCCCGCTCAGCCGCAGGACCGGTCCGGTTCGGGTCGGGTCCTGCTTTGTTCCCGGACCCCTCGCGCGTCAATCCGAGCTGAGAGGAAAATACGCAGGTTAAGTCATCTCTCCGACGGCAGCATCAGCATCAGGTGGAACTGTGACCGAATGGCGACTTTAATTAACTCCAAACTCATTACTGAGAACGATGCTGACGCAAACAGAGACGGAGAACAGGTCGGGGTTCTGGTCGGACACATTAAAGATCCCGTGGCCGTGTGTGTGTCCACCTCCGGAGTTTGGCTGTTTTTGTGAATCGGGGTTTAGGACGCGCGCACGGCACCCCGTTTAACCAGGACGTGCGCGGCCACGTGGTTGAACAGAAGGGCAGCGGAAGCAAAACTGCTGCTGGTTTCTAAAGACATCAGTTCTTATCTTAATGAGAAGCACCACCAGTGGTTCCGCTTTGGACAGAATGAAGTTTGAGCTTTAGCTGTTTAACTTTCTAAATAAATGTCAGTGCTGAGCATTAACCCTTCTTTCCTAACTATAACAAAAAACGTGTTTTTTAGAAATAGAAAGCAAACATTTGTTATTTATCACAGAAAAAATGCTCCGATATTGTGTTTGTTGCACTCTTTTTGTCAAAGCAAGTCCTTTTGCATCTGCTCTTGATTTTGAGTCAATCTGCATCTCATTTACTCTTCCTACTAGTTTTGTGTAAAATGTCCTCTGTTTGGTCATCTGAGCAAACTGGATGGTTTTGTTTCGTCTCTGTCGTGGCTGTGCTTTTATTCACGTCATTATTTTTTGCGTTTTGGTAGGATTTTATAGATTTTCAGAACTAAATTTATATAATTTATTTGAGGTCATTTTAGATTTTATTATCTTCAGAGATCCTGGTTTGATTTTATTTATTATTTTCTGTTTTTTTGTGGTCATTTGCCTTTGCATGCTTCTTTATGTTACCCAAACAGTCTCTGTTCAAAACAACATAAAAAGCTCAAACAGAGGTTTGTGAAGGCTCGCTCAGACTACTGGTCTGCTGATTTCTAACCCTTTCCCCCTTAATGTTGACTTCTTTCTTTGATTTAATTAACTTTGCAACTTTTGCCATAGTAAAAAGAAGCTAGACCCACATAAAAGTGGCATTATTGACATCACACTTGCCTACAATTTTTTATAAACATACACTAACTTGTGAGGTATGTTAACTGCAGAGAATTAAATAAATCCGCCATTCTGAACCCTCCAGTTAGAAACCTGTTGAGGCGGCGCTCCCTGGTGGTGGGACCAGATTCTGACCCTGCAGGTGTGTTGACAGCTGCCGCTGACAACAGACCAATAACTAAAGACCTCACGCAGGTAAACAAAACAACAAACCCACTGACTTTTGATTCATTTCACCAGACTGTCTCTGACCTCAGTGATAAAGATACATACGTCCTATAATAATAACAATTATCATTATATGTGTCTTATATATTTCTGGGTCAGAAATATATAAACGCAACACCTTTGTTTCTGCTCCGATTTTTCATGAGATGAACTGAAAGATCTGCACAATATCACCATTTCTCTCAAACATTGTTCACAAATCAGTCTAAATGTGTGATAGTGAGCACTTCTGCTTTGCTGAGATAATCCATCCCACCTCACAGGTGTGCCACATCAAGATGCTGATCCGATATCATGAGTAGTGCACAGGTGTACCTTATACTATACCCACAATAAAAGGCCACCCTGGAATGTGCAGTTTTGTCTCACAGCAAAATGCCACAGATGCCACAAGCATTGAGAGAGCGTGCAATTGGCATGTTGACAGCAGGAATGTCAACCAGATTTGTTGCTCGTGCATTGAATGTTCATTTCTCCACCATAAGCCATCTCCAAAGGCGTTTCAGAGAATATGGCAGTACATCCAGCAGGTTCACCACCAAGATTGTCTGAGACCAGCCACTCAGACAGCTGCTGAAACAGTTGGTTTGCATAACCAAACTATTTCTGCACAAACTGTCAGAAACCATCTCAGGGAAGCTCAACTGCATGCTCGTCGTCCTCATCAGGGTCTTGACCTGACTCCAGCTCATCGCTGTAACAGACTTGAGTGGGCAAATGCTCACATTCAAAGGCGTCTGGCACGTTGGAGAGGTGCTCTCTTCACGGATTAATCTCATTTTACATTGTTCAGGGCAGATGGCAGACAGCATGTGTGGCATTGTGTGGTTGAGCGCTTTGCTGATGTCTGTGTTGTGGATTGAGTGGCCCATGGTGGTGGTGGGGTTATGGTATGGGCAGGCATCTGTTATGGACGAAGAACACAGGTGCATTTTATTGATGGCATTTTGAATGCACAGAGATACCGTGATGAGATCCTGAGGCCCATTGTTGTGCCGTACATCCATGAACATCACCTCATGTTTCTGCAAGATAATGCACGGCCCCATGTTGCAAGGACCTGTACACAATTCTTGGAAGATGAAAATGTCCTAGTTCTTGCATGGCCAGCATACTCACCGGACATGTCACCCATTGAGCATGTTTGGGATGTGCTTGACCGGCGTATACGACAGCGTGTACCAGTTCCCACTAATATCCAACAACTTCGCACAACCATTGAAGAGGAGTGGACCAACATTCCACAGGCCACAATTGACAATCTGATAAACTCTATGCGAAGATGTGTTGCACTGCATGAGGCAAATGGTGGTCACACCAGATACTGACCGGTTCTGAGTCCCCAGACCCAAAATAAAGCAAAAAATCCCATATTCCAGGGTGGCCTTTTATTGTGGGCAGTATACGGTACACCTGTGCACTACTCATGATATCAGATCAGCATCTTGATGTGACACACCTGTGAGGTGGGATGGATTATCTCAGCAAAGCAGAAGTGCTCACTATCACACATTTAGACTGATTTGTGAACAATGTTTAAGAGAAATGGTAATATCGTGTATCTGGAATGAATTTTAGATCTTTAAAAAATCGGAGCAGAAACAAAGATGTTGCGTTTATATTTTTGTTTGTTTGTTTATATACATATATATATATATATATATATATATATATATATATATATATATATATATATATATATATATATATATATATATATATATATAACAATATGAAATAATAATGAGCCTAAACGCTATTTATTTTAGAAAATGAAGAACACTGACTTTTAATTCTTTAGTGTTTCTGAAGTTTTACGCAATTTTCGTACAGTAAAATTCATGCTAAAGTCCTTATGTGTTAACTTACATTTATTCAGTTATATTTATTTATTTAAAGATAACAGCGCCCTGTTGTTGTGATGTTAGGCCGGTAGCGGCGCACTAGTCCCGTCTGCCTCCCGCTCGGAGGAGTCTCTCTGCCGGTGCACCCGACATGGGGATTGGAGCGCCCACTTGTCAGTCCCTCGTAGTGTGTGTGTGTGTGTGTGTGTGTGTGTGTGTGTGTGTGTGTGTGTGTGTGTGTGTGAACAGACACCGATCCAGACGCACAGTGGACGCTCGGATCGCTCACTCAGCAGCTGTCTGTCACATCCAGCACGCCAACATATCCGAGTCCCAGTCGCTCCGCCGCGCCGTGACACCTGGCCGGTATGGAGGGAGAGCTGCAGCCCGCAGATGAAGGGCCCTGCGCCCCGAAAATGTACCGACCCCAGCGCGGTCCGTGCAGCACCCTGAAGCCCTTCCAGAGCCGGCGCTCGGCGGAGAAGTCGCGCTTTGACCGGTCCGCTGTGGCCGAGGTGCCTCTCTTTGGAGACGGACATCCTTTCACGTTTCATCCCGGAGGTGCCTCTCTTTGGAGACGGACATCCTTTCACGTTTCATCCCGATCATCTTTACCCTTTCCAGCAGCAGCAGCAGCTCCACCAACCCAGCGTCGCTATCAGCAGCAGCCAGCAGCATCAGCACCGTCTTCCGTGTGAGAATAGGCCCAGCAGCAGGGTGCCGACGTCCACCTCAGCTGCAGCTCTCGGCTCGCAGCAGCGGCGCGCCAGCGACGGCGGATCCGAGCCCAGATTCTCTCCGGACTGCACCTACGGGATCAGCGCAGGTGGGTGTCCAGCAACTTGTTTAGAGTGAGCTGAGCGTTGATCAGGTCTGCTCTGTTTCACCATGCCGGGCTTTGCTGCCTGCAAAACTCTTATCACCACTAAATAACAAGAGTCAACAAAGTCAAGTAAAGGCAAAAATCCAGCTTTTCTCAAGTGTTCAGCTCCTCATCAATAAGGCTAATCCTGTCACTTGTTTCCATTTCTTCCTTTGTTCTCCCAGTCAGTGATTGATTTACTCATGTAATGAAAGCAGTCATGATTGAATCTCCAGTTTATGTGTTCAAAATTACACGTTGTGTGCTTGTGTGCATGCATGCATGTTCACACACACACACACACACACACACACACACACACACACACACACACACACACACACACACACACACACACACACACACACACACACACACACACACACAATGAGAGCTCTCAGTGTTTCCTGTTGAAACACATTGTTCTCTGCTCATTTTTCTCCTCAGCTGCTCTTCATTAGAGCGCCTTGCAAGAACAAATGTGTTCCCAATGTGGAGGGAGGGTCCATGGGAGCGAGCATTTAGATGGAAGCAATGAACCAAATCCAGACAGTTTCAAAATTAAACACCAGACACTCGTTCTTTAATCAGATATTAATCTCTATATCTCTGCAGGCAGAATAGGCATAGCAGCTTGTGTTTGCTGCTTTACCATCAAGTTTTCAGACCGAGTCGAGGTGGCACAGTGCTTTAAATCACATGAACTGATGCGCTTTTAAAGTCTTTATTATAAATCTTAATGCTGTAAAACATAAAATGAGTCCTTTATTGCATGTGCTTAGACATGTACTTTTTTGTCATAAATGTTTAATTAGGAAGCTGTAAGAACACCACAACACATTAAACACTCAGTAACAGTCTTTCTGTGTACAACATAAGACCTACTCTAAACCTACTCTTGCCTCCCCTTCCACCGTGTTCACTGCTCAGTCCATCCCTCTAGTCAGTATAGTCTCTTAGGTCACCCATCAAATCAATTTAAGATGCGGTAGTATCTGAAGTATTACTGATCCTTGCTGATGATAGTTCCATAAAGGCAGCAACCATGTATACTTGAAGCCAGCAGAAAAAAACAAGTTGTTTGGCAGTTTCTGTCTCTGAGTTCTGATTTTCTTCATAAGTCAATCCTGCAAGCCAGAGTCTACAGGTTTTCTCCACATGTGATAGCTGTGACTCATCATTTAGTAAGTGAACAACAGGGTCTAAGGGAGGAGGGACTCCACCTAAATCAGTAATACAACAAAATACTTTAACCCAAGGTCCTGAACTGTGAGTAAATGTGTCCAAAGTCCTAGGGGAACAAAACGAGCTAAGAGGATCTGATGCAGCACCCATTTTGGGTCTAATTGGGGTCAAATGAAGTCTCCTTAGTCATCACACACAGTGGGGAGCAATGACTGCAGCAGTGGCTGCGCTTGGGAATATTTGGTGGTTTAATCCCCCAATCCAATCCCTTAAAGTCTTTGGTATGACCCAACTGGGATTTTAATTGTAAGTGGCCTGTATTTCATAAAGCACCTTCTAGAGTCCTGGAACCCCCCAAGGCACGTTACAGCACAGTCATTCACACACACACACATTCACACACACATTCACACCCTGTTGGTGATGAGTTTCATTGTAGCCACAGCAGCCCTGGAGCACACTGACGGAGGCGAGTTTGCCATACACAGGCGCCACCAGTTCCCCCAAACACCACCAGCTTGCAAGATGGGTTAAGTGTCTTGCCCAAGGACACAACAACAGTTACAGACCGAGCAGGGCTCAAACCTGCAACCTTCTGATTATGGGGCAAGCACTAAACTCTTTTGCCACCATTGCCCCCGAACGAACCCTGAGCTCCTAGTCTCAGGGTGGACACTTTACCACTAGGCAGCTGGGACAGTATATATAAGACCAATGACAACATTTTATATGTAGGTGTTGATAATTGGGGTTTTATGGCACTTACACATCAGGGTGAATACGGTCAGACTGGAATTTGGTTTCACACCTGGGTCAGAAATGTGTTTTCTGTTCTGAGGTGACTCTTTTTTTCAGACCTCTTCCTTGGAGGTCCGACTGGTACGGAGGTGACACTACGGACTGATTGGCCGGCTGATATTCACGCCTACCGCCTTCAATTGGCAAGTAGAATCAACCAGCGGGGGTTACCTGCATGTGTGATTCCTTTTCCTCCTGGATGCTGTTGAGTAAACTTATCTGTCTGTAGCACGGAGCTCCCGCTCAGTGGGAAGGAAAAAGGGCTGTGTGTGTTCTCTGAGCAGCGAACATCTCTGCATACGGAGCTCTCACCAAAGTTGCTCAACAAGAGGAGAGAGCAGCAAGCATGTGTGTGTGAGTGGAGTTTGAGGAAATGCACTACAGTGAAAGAACAGGGAGCAAATAAATTTTAAAAATGTGGTTCAGTATCTCCAAAAGTGGCACTATGGACTTTCCACGAGTCTTAAACCTCACTCACGGGCTCTGGGATGCCTGCATTCCTGAGAACTCCTTCAGAACTATGCTAACTCTACACTGTATGCATGAGACCAAGCTGATGCTATCCTCTCCCGACCTTGCTGACCCTAATATGTAAGCCCCATTAGAGGCCCTCTCAACATTACGCCAAATTTTCAATCGTTGTCAGGTCAAATCATCCTCCCAGCATTTCACTCCTGAGGAGAGCATGACACTTTGGGAACAACAGGTTGTTACAAATATATAAAACAGTTTTTTGGGCTGTATCTTGTAACCAGCAGGACAATGGGTGCTCACTCAGTCCTGATCCCCTCAGGGGAAGAACCCACAGGCTTTACCTGCAGACCTCTGAGGTAAAATTACAAAGAACGTCTATCAATCTTAGATGTTTCCCCCATAAAAATTTTCAGTGATGTAATATGTTTCCTATCTATTCTTGTAATAAAACGGTTTACCCCTGACAATAGAAAGCTCTTGTTCCATAAACGAGAGGGTGCATACCATCAATGTTTTAATTTTACATATCTCCCTTTTGCCCTAAATGCCATAAACACGTCTCATAACTGGACCGTAATGTAGACTAACGTTTTTAGTTCACACTCCTGTGACAAGTGCTTTGGTTTCACTGGTAGCATAAGGTCTAGCTCAGCATCTTTTCCATGGGTTTCTTTTATCATCTAACTAGCATGATAAACTTCTCAAAACACAGGCCCAGCGATAGAACTTACAGGTTGAATATGGAATAATTTCATAAAAATCTATATTAAAAAAGATATTGTCTCCACGGGGCATTTAGAGGTGTGCAGAATGAAGGTACAGCATTTTCTTTAAAAGCTGTATTTTAATTAAAAAATAATCAAATATTTGTTTTGACAGGCGCAACACTTCATAGTAAACCTGGTATCCCCACAGCTGAACTATGTTCTATTGTTGCAACTACAACCATCACACACTAGGTGTCACTATGGTGTTCATGTTCCCCGTTCAACCTTTAAAATTAGGACATCCTAACTGAGTTGCAGTGGTGGAGGAGGTAATTGCAATTGTAATTGTAATTGGAAGGTTGCTGGTTCGAGCGTGCTTAGTCTGTCACTGTCATTGTGTCCTTGGGCAAGACCCTTAACCCACACAAACTGCTGCTGGTGGTCGGAGAGACCGGTGGTGCATGTGTATGGCAGCCTCACCTCTTCAGTACGCCCCAGGGCAGCTGTGGCTATGCTGTCACTCATCACCACCTGGGTGTGAATTTGTGTGTGAATGACTGGGTGTGTGCAAAGTGCCTTGGGGGGGTTCCACAACTCTAGAAGGTGCTGTATCAAATACAGGACATTTACCATTTACCATCCACATCCTCCATTACTTTTTAAACTGTAATCTTGACCACGTAAGGCCAGAGCTCTTACTGCACCAAACACAAGTTTCTAATAATAATCTATTCTACCTCAGCACAGGGTTCAAATGAAGACAACTAGTCTACTTTGGTTTCTTGAAGATGTTTTGCTCCTCATCCAAGGAGCTTTGTCAGTTCTGACTGGAATGTGGGAGAGTCACATTTATAAGCTGTCTGTAGCTGCTTAATGAGCAGAAACCACCTATGAATGCCCCTTCTCCCTACCCCCTGAGAAGTCTTTGCTTTTGGTAGCTCTGTTAGTTAGACTGGTCCCCTCATGGGTTGTACTGATTAGATGCAGGAGGGACAACTTAGATTTCACCTTTCCAGTACCTATAATGCAGCTTTGAATCTCACTCCTAAGCAGTTTTAGTCTAGGTCACACCTTTGCATGTCTTACTAAATGCATCAGTGGACATTAAAAGGCCACTTTGATGTGAATTTTAGAGCGACTGTTGTAAATAATTGTAGCCGTTTTATTTACTTCATTTTTTAAACTCAGAATGGTCACAGATTGGCTAGTCCATGTTTCAAAGCATGTTGCTGCTGTCTTAAAACCACTTCAATGTGTAAAATGTTATTTATTTATTGTCTATTCAAAACTCCATTAGCTCCCATTTTAGTGTAGGAGCTATTCTGCCTGAGGTCTCCTTCATTTTCATTACAAATGTGTTTATTTGCATAAAAACTACCCCCCCCCCCCCCACACACACACACACAAACGATGGATGCTCACTGTGAGACCACAAATAAGCATTTCCAGCAACACAACACGTTAAATTAGACCACGAGTTGTTTAAACACACAAATAAAATAATAACCATAAAAATTAGGTGGAAAAAACAGAGAATCATATTGTTCACGTCACTCTCAAAGATGTTTAATTTTATGATTGGAATAGGCCACACCTCCAAAGCAGATTGTTTCTGTCTCACAACTCAGATTGTCTATATTTCTCAGTTGCACATGCAGACGTTCATAGAGAAACATTCACCCAAATAGCATAAAGAATAATGTTACATGTGCACATCACAGTGTTTTTAATGCACGAATGGAACAGCTTGTTGCGTCTTTCATGGCTGGAGAAAAGAAAAAAGTGGGAGTCCTTTCTTGT